TGTTTCCTTAAGATAAAAAGCATAGTACAAGGCCATGCTTGACAAAGGCAGAAGCTTTATATAACTTCAGCCATGAAAGATTATTCCAAATACATCCAAACCAAACTTGTGAAAAACAACAGGCTTAGTTTTAGATCAGCTTGGCTAATTCCCCCTAAATGAGACACTGTAGCCTATAGCAGAGCAGGATTATMATCAGAAAACCAACTGAAGGCATTCTCCAAGCACCATCAAACTTTCTGGCAAGCTGCCAAATTCTTCCAGGTTTTTAGGTGRTACTTATTAGGGCTGGTTATTCTGCCAGATACTTAAATATCCCCCATCTAAAGAACSTGAAGAATATTCTGTGCACGTAAGTACATAAATCTGAATCTTAGGCCAGTTGCTGACACCATTTAGAGTTCAATCTGCTCACCTTGGTCCGTGTTTAAATCGTGCATTTTCAGTTGCTGATCCAGCCCTCCACTCCAGGCATGGGTAGGATCCTACAAAGTATAAAATTCACCTTATTAAGTTTCAATGGCTGCTTTGCATTCAGTATCCTAAACACATAACAAAGGATTTGCTTTCAAAAGTTTTGGGAGGATGGGAGTTAAGACACAAACGTTAAGGTCTGGCTCGGATTTAAACAGACCGAAGTTTTGCAAATTATTTAACTGCTTTGAGCTATATGAATTTCTTCAGTTTAAAAGCAAAACTAAAATAAATTTTTAAAAGGCAGTTAGAGGCTATACCAAATTATTTCCATTTCTTCATATTTTAAGTTACTGACAACCTAAGTTCCATCTAAATGTAGTGTACTCCTAAAACTGATTTAGAAGGGAGATGATATMATTTGAGAACCTGAGTGTTGATCCACAATACAACATCAGTGATGTGACAAAATATTCAGTGAAAAAAAGTACGGGTAGACACCCTCTTTAATTTCAGGGCCTGAAAATTTCTCATATTTTGGGCACCTTACAGGTATAAAATAATAATTAAAAAACCCCTCCCACACTTACATAAAAAGCACAGTCCAGGACAGCTCCTGAATGCTGATATTTGAGTCTCATGGTGTTGGCAGGAACATCATAGAGCCGAACAGTCGTGTCCCAGGATGAAACAAGCAGAAACTGAGATGTGTTTGGACTAAACTTTACTGATGAAATCCCATCATCTGGAGTTTGGTTTAGTTTGAACTCGTTTGATCCCGTCATCTGCAGACAATAAGGCATAGATGCAATTTTAGTGACTACRAGAACACAGGCCTAGCAAGTGAACAAGACTGAGCCATCTGAAAGGCAGCCCAAAGCAGCCATGAAAAGTTTCCTGCTTTTACACAGAACAGGTTCAGAACACCCAAATTTTGGACATCTCTAAAATTCAAAATGCCAATCCCTGTCCAAAACCCCCCCTCTCTACAGAAAGCTTTTAAATATCAAATGCAACATGAATAAACAGTACAAAAATATTATGTGCCCTATCATCATCTATAAGCCTACATATTGTTACTTACAAAGGTATTTCTCTCACTCTGTTGAGTGTGTGGCTGTGTTTTTTGAAATAAGTATAAGTTATGTGAACATCAAGAAATTACTTTAAAAAATGCACACAAGCAGAAAAGAATTGGATTTGAAAATTCCAAAAAGCATTGATTTGCTCCTGGATTGGTATGACTGTCATGTATTTCCAAGAATTGCAATCAGATCATCTTTTATATAGTTTTGGGCTCTGTGAAACTTTCAGATCTTTAGGCTTCCCGAAGTGCTATGAAAATATTTGCAACAAAAAGCTTTTAGAATTTTTCCCCCTCTCCTAGAATCCAAAGGAAAGGTAAAGAAAGTTATGTTTTGTGGACTGCTGAAATGTGGAGTGATCATAGAACTGGCAGGTGATTAGGAAAAAATATGAAAAATTTAATGGAAGATCAATGACTCCAAAGGCAAATGCAGCACTCACATTCCAGGACTAGTTTGTTGAAAAATTCCAAGGACAGCAGAAGCTATGAACTGCAAATTTCAGCTGGAAAACAGCCTCCTTAAAAACACTCTAAAAGAAGAAACTGTTGATTACATATCCACCAACAAAACAACCACAGCTTCTTTCCAAGGCTTCTCAAGGCCTTCATAGCACATTTACCTTCTGCTAAAGGGGCAGAGCAGTGAATTAGCTCAGATTTTCTGTCACCCCTGAATTTGCAGGTACAGAGAATAAATCAGGAGAAAAGAAGCAGATGAACCAAGGGCAAGGTTCAAATTTAGAGCACAAAGATTCCAGTTCAGTGCTTGTCAGTAACTAAACAATCATCACGTTGTGTAATAAAGTGAGGAACACACATTCCAACACTGCAGAGGTTTCCTGAGAGGGAGCTTTGGCAGGTGCTCTGCAAGAAAACCATCAAAAAMCACAAAAAACTACTCATTGTGTCAATATAAAGGTAAATATTTCTGCTATTTAAACTGCAGTGAGGGGGGAAAAAAACCTTTTATTAATAGAAGAACTTCTTTCTGAGCCCTTTTTAGCTCTGCTTTGGGAACACTTAAGAAAAGAAAGGTTTGAGGTTTTGCCACACATCYTTCCATAGGAAAACTACCTGGAATRCAGCAGCASCTGCATAAGTAAATGTTTCAGGTGGAGGTACAGAGACAAAAAAATCTAAAGGAATTCCAAATTGTGAAGATTAGATTGGACAAGCTTATTGCCTTGTCTACTYAGGCCAGAAAACTCAAACAACAAARCAWRAGGATTTGAGGTACAAGTTATTGTRTTATTTGAGGCCTGGTACAAATTATTAACCAGCCCAAAAGCAACTTCARGAGGCAAAGCTACTTMTACCAGAAACCTGGATGGATGTCCYGAAGGTATTTTTAATYCAGAACGTGCATAATATCAGAGTTTAGGTAYATCCTGCCTCTTACACAWAGTAAAARTAAAATAAATCAGACCAAGAGCCCRGCATTTTCACAAAAACAGCTTCTCCACAACCGGGATTGCCAAAACACGGTGTAGTGCCTCAAATAAAAAGGTCCTACTTAAATGTTGAGGCACCACAAGAACAAACTTTTAAATAAGACATTATTCTGAAAAGAAGATTCTGACTTAACTACAGGGTTCTGTTCTGAATAAAAAAAATCATTTTTAGTGAACAAGAAATCTATGCTTTTATAGCTCATATTGACACGAGTGTCACTCAACTGGACGGAGTTGCTCGAACAAAGCAGAACGCTCAGGTGAGAGCCTTGGGACTCCCAGCCCGCGCTTTTATTCACAAAACATAAAACTCAAAAGTACCGTCTTCATGCTGAACGAGTTCCTTCCGCTGCTCCACGGGCCGCCAAGGAAAAGCTTTCGGAYTTAGGGCAGCCTCAAGGCCTCCTCCTGGTCGTTCCCCCAGCCGCGTCCTGGAGCAGTGTGTCGGGATGAGGGAAACGCTGCGGGAAGGGAAGAGAGTGAAGGAAGGGCCTGGGAACCAGAGAGGGACGGGGCTGCACCGGGGGACGAACGCACGGGAGGATTAGGATGCCC